TGCTGCTAGCTACTTGTGCCTGTGCTACAATCGCTATACTGCCACTAGTAGTGACGGTAATAGTCAACGCAATAGCAGCGACTACAATAATAATAGCAATTTCTAGAAATGATAACAAACGTTATGAAAAGTATAATCATGACAAGTAACAAAAATAACAATAATATTGTCTTAGTAATAGTAGTAATGATAGCAGCATTGGTAGCACTACTGTAATAATCGCAGATACGAATAGCGACAGCAATACTGCTGCTAGGCCGAATAAATATGGATGAAAAGGCATAGCTGTGAAGTAACTACATACAGCAACGACCCCGACGAAAGACCTCACCCCTCCAACACCACTCCGGTACAAAAGGCGTTGAGGGGTCTCACGGACATCGTTCCGAAAGGAATTAACCCTGAAGTCAATGCCCCAGTACAAACGCCAATGCCGCCTGGATGTTTTTGGATTTCGGGTTCAGCTCAGATGATCCAGCAAGGACGTACAGGTGTGGATGCATGTCCATCTAAAGATCCGAAGCCATCGTTTACTATCGCCTTCTGCCCCAACAGTGTTTCATGTTCCCGCCCGTTTTGTCAGGCTCAGAAGCTCTATCAGATTGAGGAAGGGCCATTACGGTGCATTAGCAGCTTGGCTGTTTAACATGCCGAAAACATGCCGGTCAGTCGGTGACGCAAGACCTCCTCTGCTTGTCTGAACAGCTTTGAACTCGGATCCTGATCTTGGCACTGGTGATTTCCGGGGCGCTGGGCTTGACTACGTACCACACACGGAACGGCAGACATCGAAGGGTTCACTAGCTCTGACTAGCTCTCACGCAAGAGAGATGGGCTCTATGGTGACATTGCAGGAGCTGGAGCCATGCCTCACATAGAATGCACATATATCTTCTCAAGCCATGGACTTAAACAAATGTGTCACCGGAACCCCTAAAAGCACCATAGAGCCTACGGAAGCTGCGAAGGCGCAAAATAACCGGAGCCGATGCACTGCTCGGAAACGGAGATGCTGCGGGCTGTTCCCGGCACTCACATGCCCGGACTGGACCCGGAGGAGCAGCCCACGTTCCGCGGCACCTGATCCTTCGTGGCGGCCGCTCGGGTCACCTCCTCAGCAGGTGCGCAGGGCTGCAGTGGTGCCGCTCTTCTTCCTCCCGTTCTAGTACGATTTAACTGGTGACCGAATACCAATCATGCTGTGCCGTCAACTTGGCAGTTCGCATTCTAGATGTGGATTCCGACGTGAAGTTTTTTCAGGCATTACTGAGCCCTTTAAACCCATGCCCTATGCGCTAGGGCTAGGGGTAGTGGAGGTAACCTGCTTCTGGAACTTTGTCTCAGTGGCCATGTTTGTGGGATTCTCCTGAAGGAACTCCAAAAGGGAAGGAGTTATGGCAGCGGTAATGGTTGTTGACTACAAGACTGCCAAGCCCTCTAACCCCTGCAACCCGAAGATAATCAACTGCCCGTAAACAACTGAGCAGATGCGTGGAATATCAACATCTAAGTTCGGTCCAAAGGCCAACCTTGGGACCGTTGACAAAGTGTGTGTTTCAGACTTTATGATGGCTGGGGTTGGGGTTTAAGGCTTACCCCGGGGGCCCTCGACCCTAAAAAAGGATCTTCGCCCAAGTCGCGAGAAGCAACGAGGGCATGGAGCTAAGCTCGTCGAAGGCTTGCGTGTAAGCCACCTGCGGTCAATCGAACCCTCTGGCTTAACGGGGCTTTCGAACGTTACAGGGTAGTTGTTGGACTGTTTGTCAAAGGATTTTCGTTCGGCTCTCAGGGATTTATCGGGTCGAAATCAGGCTTGAAGTAGGTTGGCATACAAAGACTTGTTGCTGCGAGGGTTGGGCTTCTGCAGGGTCGAGGAGTCTGAGACAGGGCTTGCAGCATTCTTCAGACTCGGCGTTTCTTTCTCTTGGGCTGATATGAGAGCCACCCATGTACTCACGACCTGCTTGGACCAACAGCCTCAAAACTACAAAAGACTTGGCAACCCTTCTAGATTCCTTCTACGAAGCCTACCGTCAATCCTCTGCTACTCCATCCTCAAGCTACCCTCAACCTGCTTAGAACCTTAAAAGTCCCTATTCCCAGATGCAAAACCCGCCCTACAAAAACCGGGTAAACTGCCTCGTCGATTTTGTTGGAGGAAGCCCTCAACCGATCGACCCTGAACCCTAAACCTTCACTGAAGCTAAAGGGCCCTGCCTGGTCGAAATTCTTTAGGATGAAGGCCAGGCAGTAGCGCTTCAGCTCGTGAGCCATATACTGGTCGGAATGTCCTTATTCGGGTTTTTGGCTTAGACTTGGGTTTGGGGTTATTTCAGGGTTAGGGGTCAGGGGCTCAGGGTGTAGGGGATTAGGGTTTAGGGCTTTGGGGGATGAGGGTTTAGGGATAGATGCTCGTTGAGCGCTTGGAAGATTTTGAAGTTGTCTGGGCTGCCAGCTGCTTGGCGACAGCCACACTGCCCAATGGCTGTCTGAGCGTCGAGGGTTTGGGGGCATCATCTTTCCGGTAAACGTGGTCCTCACCAAGCCCTATGTCCAAGACCCTGAACCAAGCAGGAATTGCACCCGAAACCCAAAAGCATGCACGTCATACTCCCAACCGGGTGGTCGAAATCTGAAAGCAAAACATACCACAAGACCTAAAGCCTAAACTTCATGCTCCAAGCCGGGTACCCAGGCGGAAGCATGACTTCTTTGGGCCATTGCTTTGTATCTGGAAGAGCTTCGGGTTTTGGGCTTCTTGGTTTCATGGCTTAGCGTTTAGGGAGTAGGGGGGTTAGGGCTTATAGGGAGTAGGGTGGAACCCTGAAACTGCGAGCCGAGGTTCGAAGCAGCGAGCAGACGTTGTCGATCTCCACGCTGTGGATCAACACCTGAGCAGAAGTAGCTCCCCGTTCCAGTGCAACGGCAAGTATGCAAATGTCCACCGTGAGTGGATACCCAGAATCGCATGTAGTCTTGTGCCATAGATGCTAGTTCATGGCTGGGAGAAGATGAAAAATTGCATGTCTAGTCTAGTCAGTCCTTGCTGAATTTCAGTACCCATGAAATTGTATAAAGTGTTGCGCAACTGACAAAGGATGAAGTTCGCCTGGGTTGCTTCGAGCTCCGAACTCAGGTAGCGACTCGAGACTCCGAGGTCCCCCCGGTAGGTGTTGAGGGCCTAGGGTTTAGGAACCTGAAGATCTCTGTGAGGCGGGGAAGCGCCACCACTGGAGTCTTTAATTGGGCTCAACTTATTCTGAAAGTCTGTCATTCGGAAGTAGGAGACGACCTGACCAAAAGCGCAAGTCTGGTGTAAAGAAAGGGGTGGTGCTACACTTCTGTGTCCTCATTACCCATAGGCTCCTTAGTAGTTCCTTTTGGGGATTACCTTATAAACCACAAAAAGGAACTACTTAGGAGCCTATGGGTATGGGTGACTCGATTGAGAGCACAGGGAAAACTGCTGGGCTTGGCCTCGGCTTTCGCAGCCGGCCCAAACGAACCACAAAACACTGTCCGGGGCCGGAGCGTTCTCGCAGACGTGCTTGAGGCCTCACTCTGCTCAGTGGCAACCAAGACTGACTCCATAGGTTTGAACCCGTCAGAACGGAGCCGGACTTTCCAAATCTTACAGCAGCTAGCATCAAGTCAGGACCAATTAGAACTACCACCACGCCTGTCGAGGCCTTCTACCAGAGCCATTACACGACAATGCTAAGCACTACTCTGTTGACCGTCGTTATCCATTTTTGGAAGCAGCGCAGCTGACTTGTTGGTGAGGCTTTGGGTAGTTGCCCATGCAGCGGGCCAAGGAGGACAAACACGCTGGGCCCGTAGGAACAGCATGTGAGCTTAAAAGCGGTTTAGGGTTTAGGGTTTATAGGGTTTAGGGTTTAGGGTTTAGGGTTTAGGGATGAGGAAGCACAGAATTCCAAATCATCCGGAACATGAGCAGGAAAAGGCCATTAAGCTGTAGGACCATCAGCGAATATACATGTTTACCTGCAGAGGTATTGCCATGCTGGTAGGGCGTCGACCATCCAGAGTGTAGTGGTCAGCCAAACCGAGCACCTGGGAACCGGTAAGAAGATCCTTGCCGGTTGGTTTGTATGCGTTCCGCTCAACACATCCCTTTGCAGGCGTGCACCCCCTGAACCCAAACTGAACACCCTGAGCTGTGTGACGGATCTGCTCCCCTTGCCGCACCTCTGTCAGATGTTCTGCGGACACTTCTCGTGGAGCATGGCCGGTGTAGAGCCACTCCTTCCGACAAGTTTGAAGGGACTCGGGGTCGAGACTTGGCGCTTGCGGCGAGAGTTTCACCGGTGCCTTCGCGAACAAGTCTTGCCCAAAAACGAGGTTGAACCCTAAACACCCTAAACCCTATAATCTCCAAACCCCAAACACATATAAACCCTATAAACCCTATAAGCCTTGAAGCGCTTCCTGGACTCTTTCGTGGGGCCCACCCCTGACAACAAAGCTCAAGCGACTCTGAGCACCAACCTCCGGTAAGGGGTCCTCTTAAGGGCTCTATAAAAGGGTTCCTTTTAAGGGCACATAAGGGTACTATAGGGTTCTATATTGGGGTTCCTTTTTCAGGGTATCATAGGGTTCTATAGTAGGGTTCCTTTTCAGGGCATTATAGAGCTCTATATTGGGGTTCCCTTTAAGGAAGCGTCATTCTATGCTTTACCACTCTCTTTTGCTACGCCCGAAACCTTAGGCACAGATGCGGGAACGCCGGGAGCCCCGGCCAGCATGGCATTGAAAGCCGTGTGGCTCCACTGCGGAATCTCAATCTCTGCCTGGACTGCAGGGTTTAGGGTTTAGGGTGCAGCATGACGTCTCATTTCACAGCAGGGGACTTAAACACTCAGAAACAGATATTGGAGCAAATTGGACTAAACCTATGTACAGGAGGGTCAAAAGAGGTATAGTATGTACATAAGCTTACAGCCACTCGACCAGAGCTTCTCCCCACAAAGAGAACAGATTCCCGATCAAAGCGTCGGCAAGCCAGGATTAAAGCTTGAAGCCCAAACCTTACTCACATCCAGGACGTCAGACCCAAATCCGAAAGCGACGACTTTAAAAGCCTAAACCCTACACCCTAAACCCTGAAACCGAAACCCGAAATCCTAAAACCTAAACCGCCAAACCCCAGCCTCAGGAACTACCACACTTCAGAGGCCGTGGGAAATCGCTCGGCGCCCCAAAAGCCCAAACCAGGGGCCTGGGTCCACCATGGACGAATGACTAGTATAGTCGCCTTCACCAGTACAAAACCCTTCAGAGCTTAGGGCTGAGGGCCTTGAGTGTTCGGGGTTTAGGGGTTTAGGGATTTAGGGTTTAGGGGTTTAGTTACGTTTAGTTTAAGGCCACTAAACCCTACAACACCCAAAAGCTGCACCCGAAACCTAGGTCACCTAGGCCCCCACACCCCAAAAGCCCCTAAACCCTAAACTCCCCCAAAAGCACCTAAAGCCCCTAATGCCTGGATTCGGCAGTGACCCAAAAACACCAAAGCCTCCCGCGACTCGGCGAAGCGCCCGCCGGCAAACATGGCCTCAGAGTAGCTGCTAGTAAGCTTAGGGTTTAGGGGTTTAGGGGGTTTAGGGCTTAGGGCTTAGAGCTTAGTGTTTAGGGGTTGGGGGTTCAGAGTTTGGGGCTTAGGGTTTACGGTATTGGTACCAATGTGCAAATCAGCAATAATTATCACATATGTCGCAGTGGCCTTTGTTATTGACAGTCCGTGAATACGAAATAGCCTTGTGATCATTGCCATCTTGAGTTCGCACTTGATACGAAATACACCCTAAACCCTACACCAGACAATCCCGAATCTCTTTTCATCCTAAGACCCTAAGATATACTTTACAAATCGTGCGAAATGCCTCATGGCTGTCAGACTCACCTAATAAAATAAAAGACAACGTAGCATCAGACTAGGGTTCAGGGTTTAGGAGGACACTCCAAGCAAGAGCGCATGAGGCAAAATGTCAGCAGCGACCCAAGCTACTGCATGTTTGTCTATGTAAAAGGAGCCCAGGGAACCTCAAAAATGCAATGGTCCCTGGACTAAGTCCAAGCCCTGAAACCCTTTTAGTCCCAACAGCTACACCCCCAAAACACCGAACTCCGGCACCCCCAAAACACGAGCCGTGGCTGAAAGCAGACGGAGCCGAGCTTAGGGCCCGAAAATGCTCGCACTGGGCCACGAGGATGGCCTCGTGTGAGGGTTACTTGGAGGTTCATGGGTAGTTATAAGTGGAGTTTGTTCTCCCTTGATATGGGTTATAATTATAGATACCCTACTTATAGCCCCACTTATAACTACCCGTGAACCTCCAAGTACTAAACTTGCTACTTCGAGAGAGCTATAAGGCTATAAGGGTCCTCTACGCTTGAGAGGTTGGGTCGGGGGTTGGGCATTAGGATTTAGGGCTTAATGAGGGTCTAGGGTTTTCGAATCTACTGGGTCTTTCTTAAAGGGTTCATCTCATAAGTGATTTTTATAATGATAACGACGAAGCGTTGTATTCAGAATCGGAGGATTTTTCACAGGGCTTTGGGCGCCAGTTGAGAAACTTGACCTGGGTTTGCTTGGATATATGGCAGATAACATGTTCCACGTCGTGGTAACTGACATTACGCTGCTGCCGAAGATCAACTGTAGACCCTGATCTTGATTGCCTGAAAACCTACAATAGCAATAACAACAATAATAATCAATACTAATCATCATAATAATACTACTAATAATAAGGTAGTTATGCCAAACCCTTTCCCGGCACTGCCTTGTGGGCATAGATCGGCTTCCCTTCCACTAGGAAGACGATGTCGCTAAACTCGTGACTCTTGAGGAGCCTGGCACGACTATGGGTTTAGGGTTTAGGGTTTAGGGTGGGCCCTTCCACCCGGCGGGCCAAAAGAAAGCTCAACCATAGCGTGACACGCACACACACACAGGCACGCACCGAACCGGTATAAATCTTCAACGGCCCTTTTTACGGTTTTGAGGTTCTAGGTGTGAGTACTTCGGGATGGGAATCTGGGTCAGCCAGAAACCCAAATGTAAATCCTAAACCCTACCATGCTGAACATCATTGCACCCAAGTCCAGTACTCCGGTGCCCTGACTTGGCCTGCCCATGTTTTCTATGAGAGTGTGCACCGCGACATCATTCAGCGCACTCTCCTGCAGGAGGCGAGACCCGCCCGTCCACGGCTCTTCAATCACCGTGAATAGCGTCAACACCATCTTAACCCGCCGCAAGCCCCAAAGAAAGAAATGGACGGCGGCTTGGATTGAAGAGCCATCTGTGCAGTAGCTGGAGCTTTACAGCCAAACGCTGTTGTGCTCCTCAGCTCAAGTATCTTTTTCACTCCATAGTAATATGAACCGCCATATCAAAAGTAAGCTGAGTTCGTCTGTCTATCATGTATACGTGAAGACCTGGTCCAACAAGCCAAAACCAGGTTTCCATGGAATACCACCTGTGCACGAGACATCGTTCTGAACCAGCGGAATGAAATGGTCCTTGATAGTGGCTCGTCGGAATGCAATGGGGAGCAGTTTCGGAGGTTTTTGGTCCCTCAAACCTTAAGGTTCCTTATAAGGTTCAAGTACCGGCTGCTTAGGCTCCTCCAGTCTTCCCACGTCCAGGACATGCAGGTCGTTCAACCTCCAGTAGCAACATCATACCCTAGACCCTAAACCGTCTTTAAACCTTCATGACAGGGTGCGTGTGCGTCATCCATCGAATCACCGACGATGCAGTTCAATGTTCATTCGCCCGAAGTGCGGTAGCAAGTTATGATGACAAACGGCTGTGTGGATGTGCGTGCTTTCTACATCGATACATATGTTTATGTATACAAATGTATACATATGTATATATTATGTGTGTATATATATACACACATACATATAGGTGTGGATGTAAACACACTTTTGAGCATAAGTATGTATGTACCTACGTGTGTATGTATGTGTGTATGGATGAATGTATGTATACCTATCTATATCTGTATATGAGTATATCTCTGATGTTGGACATGTCAATGTGTATCTGTAGGACTGGGAAGTCGAGCGTTGAAGGCGGCTGTGAATCTACCTTTCTCACTCGACTCATCCTGGCTCCTGGTCAATGGATTCCCGGCGGCCCCAGCCCTCTTCCAAAAAAAGAAAAGATCGTTGTTTGTGGCAGTGTTACGATCAACAACGGCAGTGTTATGTATGTAGTGTATGTGCCATGTATGTATGTGTATATATATATATGTATAGTGTATATCGGCCTACATATTCATCAAAGAGGGTTAACAGTTTCCTACCCGATGACATCAAGTAGTCAAGTATGCAAACGTAAAGCGTCACAAGCCTGGAGCCACAAAAATGTCAGACCTCAAGCCGGAAACTGGTTGAGGGTTTAGGGTTTAGGAAACCTTGAAATGAGAAAGTGCTGGGATTTCTGAGCGGATCAAAGGCTGAGCAGCAGGGGATGTGCTTTGGAGTGCTTCCCTTTCTACAGTATACGGAATGCTTGCACCACATGCTCTTTGCATATATGGCGCGGACAATTAACCAGGACCTCAATAGTAATGGTATCTTCCGATTTGAATTTTCTTGCCACTCCCATCGCTCGTCGAGGAGTTCAGGGGGATTGAAGATTTATCCCATCAGGGCTTATGGTGGTCCTGTGCGTTTAAGTGGGGGGCGTGGTAGCCATTCCACTCCTGCTGCTGAGGCACCACTTGTTCCCATCGAAGCCGCCAAAAATGTAGATGCGCTTCGAGCCTGCCAGCTAGGGCCCCTGTTTCAAAAACAAACGCCGCGAGTCCGAACTCACAGTGGACACAGGGGAGGAAAGGGCACGAAAAGAATCATCCTCATCATAGAACTCTTCATACTGACATCACAGCAGAAAACAATCTCGTGAAAAACCATCCGCACCGACACCAACGCCGATGTAATCGCAAAACCGATCGTCAGAACAATCACCAGTACTACCATCAAGGGCATCAACGTCTCCATCAGTACCCACATCATGTTCGTCCTCATCCACGCGACCACTCTCCGAGAAAACTCACTAATCCTGAAGCAGTGTCAAATGCAAAACAATGTGCAGCTGCAGATTGAGAGTTCATGTGGTGCTTGTTGCTACTGCTGCCGATGTTGTCGTTTCGGCACCGTGTTTTGTCTTTAAGAACAGCATCATCGCCAGCACAGCAGCACACAACATGCACAACTGAGCAGGCAACAGAACAATAGGCACATGACAAGAACACAATGACATGCCATACCAACACCAAGAACAGAGTAGGAGCACCTCAGCAACAACAACAACAAGAAGAACAAGGGTTACAAACCCACGAACCGTGTCAAACGAAGCCTTAATCACCTTAATCCCCCCGCCGTCCTTCTGTCAAACACCCTTTCACCCCCCCAACCCTAAACCCTCAATAACTAACCCTAAACCCCAATTACCCTCTCCCCCGCCACCCCGGGCCTATGAGCGACGCGCTGTGGCGCTGCCTCCCAGGCGGCGTGTGAGGCGACTCCGTGGGCCAGGTGGGGCGCACCCACTTGGCCTCGCCAACGCGGCAGGTTAATTGGTTCCAGGGGTGTAGGGTTGCTGTAAGGGTTCGTTGAAAGGTTAACCATGAGGGCTCATGGAGCAGTAGCGAAAAAGGTCTTGTAGTGGCTTTGGCAGCTTTTTCATGGGGCTTTCTAGGGTTCCTCTAAGGATTTCCATAAACCACCAGTCGGCCCAACCACCACGAGCCTCGGCGGTGTCGAGGATGTACAGCTCGTTCGTTCTGCCCTTGCCATCGTAGCCGCCAAAAAGGAAGATCTTGTGACCTCAAGAGCCAATACTTGCAATCGTCCGAACCGCACACTAGACTCCCGGCGTACAATGTTGAAGCGAGTACCATGTTTACATGCTATGGCAGTCGCAGGAGTTGAGAGAACGTAGCGCTATGGATTTCGGAATGGTTTCAGTAACGGAGGATGCTGGTGATGATGTCGTCAGCCTGCACCCTAAAGCAAAACCAAAAGAGCGCACACACACACACAGAAAGTTAGAGGTTAGAGTTGGTTTGAATTCAGCGAAGACCAGTTCTGACGACCAAGACCTAGAGTCTATTCGTCACAGAACTTTCGACCTGTAGCCTCATGCGCAACATTGTCAAAGAAGAAGAGCATAAACGTACAGTTTCAAGTCTTAACCTCAACCTGACTTCATAAACCACAACCTCTGGCCTCTAGCTGTCGTCAGATTGCGGCAAACATGCAGTGGTTGTTCCGATGCTGTCCACGGAAGGTTCCTCGGCTTAGCCCCAGCCATCCAGACATCACGCAGTTCAAAAAATAAATAAATAAACTCAGTCGACTGATAAACCGTATACAGCCGCTACCAGGATGTCAGAAGCAATGTCCGCAGGTACGTGGGTTGAGCGTCCCCAATCCATGTCACGACAAACTGGAAACGTCTTTGTTGGGCAGTGCCTTCCAGAATGTCCACTGCTCTCCTGCCGTCGCAAATTGTAAAAGGACTGCCAAGTGAAGACCCTTGGATACAGGGTTCGCTCGCACGCACACACTCACATACACAAACACACACGCATGCGGAGAGCATGCGGATCCTCATGTCCAGCGGGCCGTCAATCCATCCCCTTTGGGCAAACTGAATGGACGTCAGCACGTCTAGCGGCTGAAACTCATGACCCAACAAATCGCAAAGGAAGTTATGGAAGCAAGGTGCGATTGTAGAGGCCCCAGACAGTAGGACCCGGATTTTCAAGACCCAAACAAGCAACCGGAATCCACGAAACGAAGCCCGTTTTGGATTGATGGGTGTGGGTGTGGGTTAGGACGGGAGCTTCATCTTGAAGACTGAAGGGGAATAGCCTGAGAGCCCAGCCGATCAGATTGGCAGTGTGCCCCCGAAGTCCTTTCAAAGGAGTTCTCTTCAGACAATCATCGTAAAAGTCCTTGAGGTTCTAGAACCGCTCCAAGGACCTCTGGTTGTGTCATGACGACGACGAGGCTGATGTTGATGACGACGGCTTTCATGCTGAGGCTGAAATCAGATGTTGGCGCCACTTGCGGTAATGGCTATGCTGCGCTTAATGACGACGACAGAGTCCATGATGACAACAACATTGGTGATGGTGATGGTACTGGTGACGATGATGATGATGGTGATGAATAAACGATGGCGACGATGATGGTGCTGCTGTTGCTGCCATTGGTGATGGCGATGATGATGGATGATGCGGCGGCGTGATGCTGAGTAACTGCTAGTGGGTTCTTGTTAAGGAGTTAAGGATTTAAAGTTGGCAAAATAAGGAACGACAGCAAGTGATATGGCTTCTTTATACTTGTAACTTCAATTCAACTCCTTAGCTAGAAGAGCCCTAAACCCTAAACCCGTAAACCCCTAAACCCGAAACCCCTAAACCCTAAAACCCTAAACCCTAAAACCTTAAAGCCGAACTAATGAAATTCTACGAAAGGGATGGCCTGGAGGTGGCGTTCCCAGGATGTCCGGCTGGCTCCAGTGCAGCTTCCTAGGCTCGGGGCTTTTTGGCCTAGGGTGGGTTTAGGGGTTTGGGGTTTAGGGAGTTTGGGGTTTAGGGTTTAGGGGTTTAGGGTTTAGGGGTTTAGGGGCTTTGGGGTTTAGGGGTTTAGGGTTTAGGGGTGGTTCAGAGTTTCGGGGTTTAGGGTTGCAGCGTAACAGGTTTTGGGGATTCGGGCTTAGGGTTCACTTGGACCCTGAAGAGCCTACCTTTTTAAGGACTTATATAAAGAAATCACATAATACGGAACCCTGAAAAGGTAGGTTCTTTAGGGTCCAGGTAGGGTTTAAGTTTTGGGCTTTAGGGGTTTTCGGGCTATAGGTTTAAGGGGTTTTTGGGATTCAGGGGTTCAGGATTCAGGCGTCCAGGGAGCAAGCGATTTAGGGTTTCGCAGAATCGGACTGGCAACAGCAGCAAAGAACAACTTGCCATAGACCAACTGACCCTTCAACCCTACTAAACCCCCCAACCCTAAACCCTAAACCGTAAACCGTAATGGCAAGTGCTCTAGTTACATGTGCACTCTGAAGCCTCGACCCCTGAAGCTGTCAACCCGCGAACCCTTAAAAAGCCTGCGCCCTCCACACCTAACTGCCCTTGAGCAGCCGAGGGCATGGCGGATCGGTTTGGGGTTCACAGTTTCGGGCTTCGGGTTTCGGTTTTACTTAGAGGCTTCCTTGCATACACGAGGTGGCAGCCCACATGAACTGAAGCTGCATGTCACCACGACGGTAACATGACAGGTACATGTACCAAGCTCCTGAAGCAAAAGCTTCTACTCATCTGAGCTAACACGACGCTTAAACGGAGAACACAATGCGTGGAGGTAGACAGTTTGTGCTCTTCTGCTGCTTCGACTGTGCGTAGGGTGTAGTGTAGTATGCAACAGAGGGCGTCCACATTCAGAATGATCTAATGCAGGGGCCAAGAGGAGATTGTTCCGATCCCAGCAGTTCAGGCAGGGAGTGCGCACACAGGGTCTTCTGTGTTTAGTTAGACTTGGGAATTTGGTTTTGCGTTGGGGCTATATCATAGAGGACCCATGTGACATTGGGTGGAAGGTCAGCAGAAGCATCGAAACCTTGAGCTACTTCACTAATATAAGAAGCACCTTGAAAATTAGAATCGGGTCCCTTTAAATTCATCATGATAACTACAATATTACAAAATCCCAAACCCTATTCAAACATTTGAGGCCCTATACTAAGCTGGGGCCCGGGGTCTGCGTGTCAAAGATGTGCAAGTCCGTAAGGTGCTTGTTGCCACTGTGGCCACCTGCAGCGCATCAGGGAGTTGGAATTCAGGGTACTCCACCCTAAACCCTAAACCCTGAACCCTGAACCCTAAACCCCTAAACCCTGAACCCTAAACCCTAAACCCCTAAACCGCTAAGCCCTTTTCTGGTTTGAGGGTTCGAGGGCTTCGGAGTTCGGGGTCTCAGAGATTAGGCTTCCGTGGTTCTTTTTGATTCAGGCTTGCTAAAAGAAGCCAACGTTCCCCCCAATTTCGTCCAAGGCCGAGAGCAGCTTGGGTAGTTTTCTAAATTAGGGTCCCCTTTAGGGGGATCCTTTTTATAAGGGTGCCGTACAGTTCTTAGGGACCTAAAAGGGGCCCTAGTTTAGAGAACTTCCCACATAACACTTCGACCCAATGGGTCCAAAATACCAGGAGAGCCGAAGCCTTTAAACCTCAGCGTTTTTTATCCCCTTACTACAGTCCCCAAGCTCTCGCTTTCCGAAGAGCAAGAGGTTGATCACAAAAAAACCCTCAGCACTTCGTCATGATCCTGGGGTGTAAGGCTTCGGGCGTTTGGGGGTTTTGGCTCTAGGGCGTTTAGGGCTCTTTGAATCTAGAGTTTGAGGCGCAAGCCCACGAAACCTGATACAACTAAAGACCGCAAAGAACTGAACACCTGATGACACGCTTGATTCTTTAGGGGTCCAGATAATCACCAATATTATTCCTAGGGTCCTTATACTATGATCACAGTATAATATACCCCTCATAATTCCACTAAGCAGGAAACTCCAGGACCCACATGAGCACAAAACTCCAGGACGGTGAGGAAAAGCTCTGAGCCCCCCAAAACCACCAAAAAGCTCTGAGCCCCCGGAGATTGGGATTTAAGGTTTAGGACTTTGGATTAAGCCTTGGAAGTCCTAACCCCTAAAAACTCCCAAGCCCTAACCTCTAAACTCCTAACATCCTAAGCCTTTAACTCCTAAGCCCTCACCTCTCAAGTCCTCAGCCCGAAACCCTGAACCCTAAACCGCTACACTCTAAGCCCCTAAACCCCTAAACCCCGCAGCTAAACTCCTAAGCCCTAAACCCTCGGCTAACTGAGTGCCAGGCCAAAGAGGTACAGCTTTGTACTAATGACCTGAGCTGGTTCCCAGTTGGGGTGATATCAAAAATGATCAGTTTTGATCCTTGTTGGGTTTTATTATAACAAAAATGTAAAATTGTAGCCAGCAAGGACCCAGTGAGATGAAGCACTCAGAGGCGGTTCTTTAGGGCTTTGAGGGATTTTAGGGGGTTGGCTTAGGGCTTAGGGCTAAGATTTTGGGTTTGGGGTTGGTTTTTGTTTCTTAGGGTTTGAAGATTAGGCTTTTGAGGTCTTTGGTCGACTGGGTTCTACTAAGGGCTCTGCGAATTTCAGGGCTTGGGCTTTCAGGTTTACGGGTGTTTGCGGGACTACTTTAAGGGGTACTCTGAGGGTGTTACTGAAAAGGATACCAATTCAACGGTTGCGGCAAATGTTTTTCGAAGTTTCGTAAGGCCACTAAAAGCATTACCCATAGGCCCCTTAGTAAGTTCCTTGTTGGGAGTACCTTTTTTTAAATATAAACCACAAAAAAGGAACTGCTTAGGAGCCTATGGGTAGCTTGAGGTTCATAAGGACTACGAAACAGGGTTGCTGAAAGGACTGCATTGGGGCTTACAGGGTCTGCTCTGGCTTTGAGATGTAAGGGGCCTTAATAATTAGACGCTTAAAGCAGGGTTGTGGGCTCCTTTATAGTAGAGTTGTGATAATGATAAGGAGCCCTAAGGAATAATATTGGTAATTATTATTTGGGCTTCTATATTATAGAAGCCTATACACCCCAAAAAAACAACACGCACCGGTCTTGGGTCTGGCGGCTTGGCGTCTAGGCTTTAGAAGTCTGTGGCCTCCCGAAGCCACCGGAAGGATCCAAAAAGGGTTTAGGGCTTAGGGGCTTTGGGTTTTAGGGTTTTAGGGTCTAGGGTTTAGGGGCTCTGGGGTTTAGGGTTTTAGGGTTTAGGGTGTAGATCCCTTAACTCGGGAGCCTATGGGTAGCTCTCCAAAACTGGGATCCCTTTCTAGGTCCCAAGAGCAGTACGGCACCCTTATAAAAAAGGACCCTAAAAGGAACCCTCATTTAGAGAACTACCCTATGCTACTGTACTACATAGCAACCCCTTAAGAGATCCATTTTTTTGGATCCCCGGGATAGGGTTTCGGGTGTGGGGCTTCTCATGCTGGCTCGGAGTGCCATGTAGAGGTGTGGATGACAAGCAGGAACACAAATATAGTCCCCCTATAGTCCCTGTAACTTATGCCAGCCCAAGACTCTGTTAAAGCTATGAAGGCCCTTGTAAAGCCCAAGAAGGTTCGATTGAAACCCTTTAAACAGTAAAGCCAATCCAAAATATCAACCCGAATTACGACTGCCCAGGGTCAGAGACTCCTATAGTAGCCCCTGTAGCAACCATAAGATCAGATTGCACAAGTCCTATTGAATCCCCCCCCCCCCCCCCCGCATTGGAGATTCCCGGTCGAGAGGCCGTCATGGTGTGTGCATTGCGCGCCTGCGGCAAAGTCCCCGAGAGCGCCGGCTGCATCCACCTCTCTCGGCTCGGGGGAGTCGGGGTGCGTTTTACAGTTTAAGGATTACTGCAGTACGCATGCTATAAAAAGGCATCTGGGTTTGAGGGTTAAGGATTCAGGACTTCGGGCTTGGGATTGAGGGTTTGGGGTCTGGGAAGGCTATATGGGCTCTGGAAAGCTGTTGTGCTTTCCTTTTGCGAAAAGTTGGTGTTGAGGTTTGGCTTCTCCCCTCGAAGTCGGGGCGCACGAGGTCAGCCAGTAGTTCTTTGGTCTCGCTCAGACGTCCCCACGGCCATGTGCAAGTCAAATCAACTTTGCGAAGAAAGCTAATAAACCCTAAACCCTAAACCCTAAACCCTAAACCCTACACCCTAAACCCTAAACCCTAAATTAAAGGCAAGCCGCGTCATGGTTTCGAGGTCAATGATGTCCATATCCTGGGCCGAACGTGTGCGGCGCATTTTGGAGTCAACTGCTCTCAAGCGTTTCTAAATCCTAAACCCTAAAACTTACCGGAACCCCATGTAACCTAGCTCCACATGGTTCCTCATCTTGATTTCGTATATACATCCTTAAAAACGAAGGATATCTGGCGTTGAGGTAAGTCCTTAAGCTTAATCCCTGGCCCTACAACGCAAAATCGACCTCCTTTTCGGGGATCTCTCTGAGCAGCCGGCATTGAAACACTTGGCGCCGTCGTAGCCGCCGAACATATACCTCGGTGCCCAGACACCCCTCTTGGCCCCGGCCTGACAATCCCAAAAGCCTTGGACCCGCATGTGGGCTTCATAACAGTAGGGTTTCGGGTTTCGGGTTGGGGTTTAGGGTTTAGGCGGGTTGCCTAATTCTAAGGGTGCCTCCTCAAGGCTGAACATCGTAAATGCCATTGACAAGCTATCCGGGCTGAATCTCACTCCAAGGTCCCGAAGTCATCTTCTTCGAAGCTTCGACAGGGGCGTTTTGGAGAGTTTGTTGTCTGTAGGGTTTTTTGTAGAGCCTTGTATGATTAAGTTGTCGCATTCCCAAAGAAGATGCGCAACAACCTTGCACCCCGAGTTCTAATCACAAAGAACCCTATGCAATGTTACATTAGGGGTTTCAGATGCGGTGGCTTGGATGTAGGACTAATACGACTTGGCTTGTGGAGTTTCAGAGTTTTCCTCTACTCAAACCTAAAGTCGTGGAATGCCCAGACGCGTTCGCCGCGGCTGTTGCAAGCGAAAGCTTTGGGCCGACATTGAAGTCGGTTCCAAGCCGATTAGAGGGCTAGGCAAGGTCACAGGTACATAATAGGTTATTAGGTGCCATAAAAGTACTCTGCAGGCAACAACCCTAAGTATATTGGGAGTCGTATATTTCGATCGACAAAGCCCTCATCCTGAATGCTTAGACGGCAGAAGCAGGGTTATTAGACCACGACTAAACTAAACAGCCAAGCTTGAAACCTTCAGACACCCAGCGAACCTTAGGCCAACAGAACCTTTCCAAACAAATCTGGCAAAAACCCTTATAGAGCCCTTAAATTAAGAATCCAGATATAAACCCAGATAGAACCTTTACAACACCTCTAAAACCCGTCTTGCTCCCCTAAAGCCCTTCTTGCTCCCCTAAAACACCTAACCCCTAAAGCCCTATAACTCTTCGCCACGCCGCAGCTTGTGCGCGAGCCGCGTGAGGGTGTGGCACGCCCGGGCCGAGGGTGGCGTGCCCGAGGTCGGCGCCTGGAAGACAGAATGCTGAAAGCAAGATATAGGTTTTTTCTTGTAGAACTTGGTACACTTCTCGATTTGTGGTTTAGGCATTAGGGTTTAGGGCTTAGCGTCTTTAGGGTTTCATATTGTAGTATATTACAGTATACTTAAATTAAATTATGGTATAGTATAGTCTATTATGCTATGGTATGCTATAGCATACCATGATGTATATTATTGTACAAGGCGCATATTCGAGTATGTGGAAAGCAGACTAGCGAGAAGAACCAAGGAACAACATTGCTAATGATTCAGCCCGCTGTTAGGTTTACATGCATCATATGACTAAACACATACATACATACATACAT